CTGCATTCCGGCTCAAATAAGATTGCCTTATTTAGTTCCGAAAGGGAGCGTAGGTGTCAACATTGGAGCAGCCACCAACGTGTGAGAAAGTAAAGGGTATGAGACATGACAGAATTAAAGGTGTTTGCTATGTTGTTACACCGTGTGTCAGGCTGCAAGCTCCCTTTGTCACAGCCTCCTGGTGATTTGACAGCGCAAATCTACTTCCCTCCTAGGTGAGACAGCATTTTCTAACTGGAGTTATAAATGCGGTGCATCCCTCGCGCGCACCCTGCCTCCCAGACCCGCGAGTCCTATCTCCAAGCATCTCGCCCTGAGACACAATGAACAAACGATGTGTACAGGGGGCTGTGCGTGCGGGGGCCCGGGCACCGCCAGCATCACAGTAGCTGGCATTGACTGTTGTTTGGCATTAAGTTCCTCTGCCAAATCATCCAATAATTAAGTTTTATGTTATTTGTATGAACGACCAAGCATGCAGTATCCCTTTGCAAATCAAAGGGAGGCTTAACATTACTTTTTGCACACTTTCAGACCATGGTCAGGTCACAGTTTGGGGGCTGAATTAAAATGATCTCATTCATGATCTAATTGAGGTTGGCAAAACCTTAGCAGTAGCAGGAGTACATAAATATAAATCAAAAGACCAAAATTTAGCAAATCATATCATTTGCTAGAAATCTGCTCATGAATTATTCTCCCATTGCCAACCCAGAAGTTAAACTTTGTCTCCCTTCAGCAACAGTAACTGCGCATATTTTTTCAGGCTCCTGACAGGGAAGTTAGAGATGCTGAGAAGAGGAAAGAGAAGGGAGATGATCAGTTTCTCATCAGATATTGTGTGTTTGCGACCCAAGAAAAGACGATAGCTAATCAAGCCGCGTGCGTTGCAGTGGGTGCTGCAGTCTTGGTTAGAAATTAATATCAGCTTCTGAAAACCAGATTTGGGAAGAGCGAGCAGCTGGGATACAGAAGGGGTGGAAGGGGCGCAAACATTTCGAGCAGGATCTGATTGAACTTTGCTTTCATTTTTCAGTTGAATGTAATCATCATAATGATTCATGCATTTTTGTAACAAATTTAGTTCAGTGACTGAGCTGAGGGGATATTTGGGGGAGTCGTTAGAATTAAAAGACAACACGGAAATGTTGGTGTACATATTTAGGTTACCTTTGTTTCTTTTTTTTTTAAAGAAATATTACTATGAAATTAAGACTCTGGATCCCGTAATCTACGAGATTAAATGTTATGTTCTATGGTACGAAATCCATTTTTAGTTCTTCATTTTTCTCGATTGCTGTATGATATCTCAGCTGAGACCCACACACACTTCACTTTAGACTGAAGGAGACCTAATTATGAATTTGAATATTGTGAAGTTAAAAAATTTTAAATCCCACTTACATGAAGGTATTCTTTCAAGCAAACAATTAGTGCAGAACTAGTCAGTTTAGCTAACCTTATTTGTCACAAGAGCAAAATATATGAAGGTGTATTTTTGAATTACCATGGAATCATTTTAAAATAATCCCAGGTACTGGAGGTAAACATTTTAAAATAATCCCAGGCAATTTACCTGCATTATTTTGGGACCAGGTAAATTGTCCTTATTGATTTCCCATGACAAAAGGTGCAAACGTGCCCTACATAAAAATGTGTAATACGTTTTTATACACGGCTGATATGACAATATAGTGATTTTTGTTATTTATATGGTTTCATATTTCTTTTTATAATCAACTCCAGGAAAGAAAGGTACTCCTGACAAGGTGATAGACACTACCTGCAAAAATAAGTAATCAGCAATAGATCAACAGATTAAGATATCATGCTATTTATAAGATGAGATATTTCCCTCTCTCTTAAATGGATGAGTAAATATCAAGGATTCAATGCCCAAGTGATCTATAAATGTGGAATGTAGCTTTCACTGTTTCCTAGTGCAAATTGTATTTATATTGTCTTATATATCCGAGTTAACTGTAATCGAAGAAACTTTGCGCCTGTTCTTGGAAGTACTTAAGTTTCTGTTTTAGACACAAAGCACATCAATGGAAGTGTTTCGCATCATGAGATTTCTCAGTTTCAAGAGGTGAGGTTTATGTATAAAGACCTCAGGAAGCTGTGTTTTCCTAATAAATAGGCCCATCGAGAGGAAACATCTAAGCAATACCGTTGTCCTACAGGTTCCCATCACCTTTGCTCTGCTGAAGGGCATTCGAAAACTAAATACAGATCCTATGCACTCATACACAAATGCACTCCAGGACCCCAACTCTGCTACTTCTTCTCTTAAGCTTTCACTGCAATCATAGAGCTTGTGAATGAACGAAATACAACAGGAATAGCAGAGATGAGGAATTCATTGAGACTCCCGTTTGGTAGGATTTATTGCAAGAGAGGACGCGTACCCTGTGCCACGTGACTCTTACAAAACCTACTTGCACCTATTCATCTACACTTCAGGTGCATTATTTAGGGTAAATTACAAGTTTCATGCTTTGAAACTGTTTCCCCCCATTTTCCTTCAATATTACCAACCTTAATACAGATGATGCCAAATTGATTGCAAACTATTATGGTTTTTAAAACAGCATTCGGGAGCCCTGAATAAAGGTGGCATTTCAAGGTAGTGTTTACAATATTTAAAAGAAAAAAAAAGTGGGGGAGAGGATTAAACTATACTGAACACTTGGCAACGTGTGGAGTTTTATACTTGTGCCGATAAAAGGTGAGGGAACCAAGACCACAAACGCTATGTGTCAGGAGGTTCTTTGATAGGGCTTCTGGCCTCAGTGTTTTTGTGCTGTCAAACTGCTGTGTTGAACAAACACCTCCTCTGGGACAAAGTGATAAATGCAGAGACAGGCTGGCTTCAACCAGTCTCAGCAGCCTCCTCAGCCACACTTCCACCCCCACCCCCAGGCCCACCTCCCTCTCAGGGCAGCCACCTCCCCACCGGGCTGTGCCCCTTTACCTGAAGTGGACATTTACACAGAGGTGCCAGGGCTTTTCAAGGTGTCAGTGGTGAGTAATTACAGTTACTCCCCAAATCTTACGAATCAGTGCTCTGAACGTGCAGGCAAAGTCCTTTCTCTGGCAGGCTTCATCTAGTCTCTTTTAAATGGAACTGGACCGAGCTTCTAAACTTTTGCCAACTTGAACTTTTTCCACCTTTGCTTAATCATTTGAAAACCACTTGCTCTCCTCTTGTCTTTCCCCTAGTCACCGGGGTTTTATTTTCTAATGTTCAAGCCATTACGTTGTGCAACACAAAACAACATTTTGCCTTAAAAAGTCCAAACACTGTTTACCTCCTACTTTCCCCTCACCAGCATTCTTTTAGGTCTCACACCTCAAATGTATAGCCAGCTGATTTTTTTTTACCCTTCTCTCTCAAAGCCATTATTCTCTGACTAAAACCTGTTTACTGGTGCCTTTGTGTGTCCCCCCCCCCCCCCCCCCCCCCCCCGTCATTAAATGAATTTCCATCTTCTACTTCTGCAATCTCTAAAAAATAGATAAACCATTATATTTTTTTCCCCAGCTCGTATTTTAAAGCGGTGATCCTGACAGCAGGACGATTATTGCACTTTATATTTTAGTGGATGTTTGCTGTTGCTAGTTACAGCAACACTTATCATAAGACAGCAAGAAAAGAGTAGTCCCTGGTAATTAAAGTAATGAAATATTCATTTACTCTACCTTTTCTGTAGTCTCACAAATTAGGCTGCTACATTTAATGCCTGCACTGCCTCTGTTTTTATTATAATGGCAGCTTTCGCATCTGCAATTAGGACTAATTCTGACAGTTACAATTTCTGAGGGATGGTGAACAGTGAACGAGATGTACAGCAGAGGTATTACACGTGAAAAGCCCTGTCTCTTTAACCTTGTTGTTTTTTTTTCTCGCAGAGGTTACCTTTTCCCGATGGTGCAAAATCGACTTGACATAACTGTTCATCAGTTTCAGGGTTTTCCCTGGAGGTATTTGCATCAAATCAGCCCAGTCAAGCTTCAAGTTGAAATTGGCAGGCCAGAAACTGACAGAGTAGAGACTGGAAAAGAGACAGCTAAAGTACAGGCAGCCACTGACAGTAACAGAGTGAAAGACAGAGTGGGGGGGGGGTGGCTGTGGGGGGGAGGCGGAGAGGTTGAGAGGCAGAGCTTTTCAACTTCAGTGGAAGGGAAACCTCAACTCCTGCCGGGGTCTCAGTAGCAACGTCCCCTGGAGGACTGGGAAGGTGGAGAGATTCAGGACACCTTCAGCTAATTCTTACCGCTAGGGCTCCCCAGTCCTGCTCCTCCCTCTCTCTCTCTCTCTCTCTCTCTCTCTCTCTGTGTGTGTGTGTGTGTTGGGGTGGGGGGGTGGCTCTCGTTGAATCTGATTGGATGCCTAAGAGGAGGGGGCACACTTAATTAAACAGGAGGAAAGTTCTGTCTGAGGCACCTCCTCAGCACGCCTTAAAGCCTGAAAGCCAAAGCTCATGATCAGTGTTACAGGAGGAAAATAAGGCAGTTTGGATTTCTTCCTAATTGTTAACTTGTAGCAAAGTTAACAATTCCTTCACTTTACCGGGGTTGTTTTCTCCGGGTTCTCTTCTGAGGCAGATTAAATGTTGGCTGAGACCAGAGCTCAGGAGGCTGTAAAGTCAAAACTTAGTGCATTTTGGTCCACAAAAGCAGCCACTAGCAAAAAATTATATTTGAAGAGGTGCCGCGTTGAATAACGGGGAGAGGGGCGGGGGAGGGGGGGTGTTGCACGTGCTCTTTATAAAATAGCATCCTCCTATCCTTTCATGTAAGAACATTTATTCAATTGTTGAAAGGCCAAAAAACATGGCAAAAATCTTAAAATAGCAATGACATTAAACTTTTATTTTACTATCGGGAACATCACTTTCAAAAAATCCTGATTGCAAAACATTTGTAATTGCTCTTACAAAGAAAACAAATATGAAAATTGCCTCCTTTGCCCAAGTACATTTTTTTTTTTAGTCTTTTGTGTCTATTTTTTTTTAAGCAAGATTTTTTTTTTGTCATTCTTTCCCATCTTTTCTAACTTCAGGGGTTGGGGGGGTGCTGTTGTCTTTACCAGATGATTTAAAATCCTCACCATTTTCCAACTAGACCTGGGGGTCGAATAAGCCCTTGCTTTCAAACTGTCTTCAGGCTGTGTGTATGACAGGCATTGGCTGATCTGCTGATGCCCATTCGACAGGCACTGTTGAGCTAAAGTGGTGTGACGGCACAGTTTTGTTAAGCTGTGAACAAAGGGCTGGAGATGCCTCCCTGGCATCGTCCATGTGCATATTGGCCTTGTCACAGTTTTGCTTGATTTAATGCTCTGTTTATTCCTAGATATTAAAACTTAAATTCCAAACAATATGTTTTCAGAGACTACATACCAACTTGATTGTGAAAGCTTGAACTTTGAAGACCCTAGGGTGCATTTGCTCTTCTAGTTTCCACGTAGCCCACGTGAAAACGCAGCTTTGGAAATAACTAGATTGCCAGTAGCCTCTTAACTGTTATCCATTTAAGAAAGGGATTCTAGTCTTAAAAAGTCTTATTAGGGTAAAAGATTTATTTTTCTTTGATCACGGTTGAAAGTCATTATTTGTTTCCAACAGTGGATTCTCCCGTAAATTCCTCAGGAAAAGTTACCTTGTGTGTATACAATCTGGGTAGACTTTTAAAAACAAATATTTTAGAAAGATATATTATCAAAAAAAAGATATTCAGTTCTTAAAGAAACCATTTATAAATACCTATGAGGGTACACACATTGCTGCTTCTAGAGGGGTGGGGGGAGAATCAAAGAGGTTTATGTTAAAGTAAGCCCTATGGAAGAGAAAGAAGAATTAAGATTGAGGCCCCCAAATAAAATAATTGTTATAAAAATCCCTGTTCCACTGACAAGAGCTAGTTTGTCCAAAGAAAACTGAAGTTGATACTAAATGTAGCTCCCAGTGTCCCGTCGAATGTGTCCTGAGCTTTATCTGTGCCCTGGGTTTTTTGTTCCCCCTCTGCCCCTTTTTCTTCCCTTCAGGTTTGCTTCAAGTGTTTGCTGAGAGATTAGTTAGCAAGTTTATACTGAGGAGGTAGCCATGGGAAGCAGCTCTCCCCTTGCAGGAACGCACAGTGGGTCAGAGCGTGAAGATGCTGGGAGCTAAGGCTGACTGAGGCCCGGGATCAGGTACTTTATTTTCTCTCTGAGACAACCACTCACAGAAAGGCTTGTGGAATGACATCTCGTCCCAGCAGGAGCACAGATGCTACCCCTTTTAGAAACTTCCAAACAAGCATTATTGCAGGAACAACTTTATGAAAAAAAAAATCTCTTTAAGTCTATTGCCAGCACACTCCCTTTTCATTATGTAAAGAGGCTATAATTTGAGATATTCAGGGTTATTTTTACCTCCATTCATAAAACAACTTCTTTCTGGAGAGCTGTAATGGGGAAGGTGAGGAAGGTGGCGAAGGAGCGGAAAATAGCAGCATGAAACAAAGTATTTCTGCTACTCACCAGTGAGACTGCACAAAAAAATCTGAAATTGAATCTCTAGGGTAAAACACATACACATTTTCACCTGCCCTAAGCATAATTCTTAGCAAGGACAGTTTTACTAACTGAAATGAATTGCCTTTTTTTTAGAGTAGTAGTTTTACTCAATGTTCATTTATAGCAAATAATTCTCACAGCCAGAAAGGGTGACACAGGTAGGGGTGACAAGGAAAGATCAAGCTTTTATTGCTGGTTTTTGTATAACATCACATGTGGAAAAGGCACACCTGCTTACAAGATACTCTGTGGCCTGTTCTCTTTAAGTTTCATGAGAGGTTTCTGTGTCCAGTCCCACTGGTGTGACCCAGATTTAGACACACAAATCTCCAACCTGGCAAAGAATAGACCTTTAATATATTAATAGGACAGATTTTTACTTAATATATGAAATGAATCTTGGCACTAGTCTGAAGGTCCCTATGAATACTTTGTTAGCATCTGTTTATAAAGGAGACACATAGAAGTTGCCCCTAATGGTCCTCCTGCCCCAACCCCCAGCTGAACATTATCTGTTTTGTCGCCAGCTCATAATGTCCTATCCGTAAATTGCTCTAAGTGAAGCTGTATCCTAGCTATGTTTTATAACAAACACAGGGCTAGGACCAACATGACTTCTCACCTTTTAATGAACTGCCCTAGTTCAGGATCTTCTAAGAAATGAAGTACAAAAAGGAGCAAAGTGGAGATGAAGATATCTCATAAATAGTTTCCTTTGAACATGCACAGTTGCTTACATGGCCTTTCCCCCTTTTTTCCAGGCTAGCAGAAATGGCCTAGCCCAGGGCTCATCCAAGAGAGCACCCTTCAGAGTTGTTCATTGGATGATTTGAGGGAGGCTCCAGCCCTAGGATACCAATGAAGTGTATTTACTGAGAACTTTCGTACAAGTGGGAGCGGGTGTGGTGTGAGTACAGGGCATTCTTGAAGGAATGTCTAATTCCTGCGAGAATAATAAGGCCTTCTGGCCATTCTTCAGCAAGAGGTTTCAAGGAAACAGAGAGGGGTGGCTGTGGTTTCCCCCATCCCACCCCTGGCCCAGTGAGGAACAAGGTCTGCTTCATGTACATAAGATCTTTGAATGTCTCTGCCACGAGGTAGGGCTTGGGCGATCAGTATCTGCAAGCTGGGAGCATGAAGGTGATCTCATTGTATCACAGTGTAGAGATGAGATAGGCTAGAGCTACAGCACATCAGTGCATTGTGCCCGGGTGGCTGGAACGATCCTCTCATTTCCAAAGCAGCCACTCTTTTATTTTCCATCATTGTTCCCTTACCTCACTTGTGTGCTTCTTGTGATATGGATCTGACTGAGTCGTGCAAGCTTCAGACTTGCCAGCCCCCAGCTCCCAGGCCTAGTACAGAGTCATTCATAAACTTACCGTATTAGACTATCAGATCGAAACCCAGGATCTCTACGAGTGGTGGCATTGGAAAGCCCATTGTTTTGATTATCATTTCATCAGCCCCAACTGATACTAGTCTGCTCAAGGAAAACATACGTCGGTTACAGTTGATTTTCAGATTCCAAAATGGTGCTGCAAAGCCGGTGCGTCTCTAATTATATTTTATGCTAGGCTGTGCAATACCAAAATATACGCCACAGCAATCAGGGAGTGAACAGTATCAATCAATTTGTAAACAGATGAAGTCACTCATTCCCAAACTGGTTTTCCAAAAACAATTACTAAATTACAATAGGAAAAAAATTGTACAGTTACTGTATTTGTGTGCTGTGTTACAATCAACATACCAGGGAAACAAAACAATTTAATGCAGAAAAATCATCATTCATCTACATTATAATTGCTTCTTTTTCACATCTACAGGGCGGTTAATTAAAATTGTGATTAAATGCGGTCGCGCTGCCTAAGATGTCTTGCCCAAAACAGGTGGTACAGAATTTAAAAGTAAAAAAAATGTAATTAGCATTGGAAATTGAGAAATTGCCTGTAAGAATCAGTGTTAATTTCAGTCAGTGATGAGGTAATTTATAAATGAATGCAGTGGAGGCTGTGCAAATGCACAATTGCCTTCCTTGCCATTCTTAGCATTCTCAGCATGCAGGTGAAAATGTTTTCAAAATATTGAGGTAATTTGAAAATCAATCCATGCATTCTGTATCTTTTTTCTCCCGTTTGTACCAAATGCTGAACAAATGCTGCCATAGATGGCACGATCCATCAGTTGTTTTATTTTCTAAAAGCAATGCTACAGTTATTTCAGACCTAGATCAAGAAATATAATGACAGAAATTACAGACCTCAAATTGTTACAAGGGTCAAAATTGTACACCTGAAATTCTGACTAATGTGAATTTGCTTTGCTGCACGGCACCACATCAATAAAATAGGGACCTGGAGGGAACTATTCTCAGAAACAGACAGAAAGACTCTTAACCAATCCAAAAAATGCATGAGGTTTTATTTTTAAAGTTTAAGGAAGACCTTGAGAATTATAATATGGCTGATCTTTTCCTTAGGATCTTTAATTTTTATTATTCTACCTATAAATCCTTGAAAACCAGTTAATAAGGTATCATTAGAAATATTTTTTTTCAGAAGTGAACTCTGCTTATTAATAGAATCTCTCTTTTTTAACAAAGATGCAACTTCTTAACCAAATATTATGCCATCCGTGTCCTATATTTCAGGCATTCTCTTGGCACATGAGTAAATTTATAGTTTAGGTACTATTTAAAAATTTATTTTTATTTACAGTATTACTAAAATAGAACCACTAGGCTTTTAAAATCTCCTTTTCATGGAGGAAATTGAACTTGTATGTCCTTATCTTGACCATCTGAGCAATATACATTTAAAATATTTTCATGATGGAGGAAAATATGGGGTTTAAGTATCTGGCTGCAGTGGTGCTAAAGAGACTTCTTGGGACTTTAAAGCATTCTCTCCACAGAAAGTCCATCCTAAGAATATGTTAGCTGTTACGGATTAATAATCAGAGTTGAAAATGTAAAATATTCTGCATGATCTGCATGATTGTTTGCTGTGTGAGGCAGACATCCATGATTTCCCTGTGAAGACATACTTGGGTCAGACACCTGCACGCTGACAATGCGGGGAGAGAGACGAAACAGCGGGAGCAGCCTTCTTCCCTGACAGTATCTTCGCATCCTCTGGGGTCAGGCCGGGTGCCAGGCCTTCCCCTGGACCTTTCCTCCTTACTCTGGGGATACAAGTGAACTGCGCAGTTTCGAGGTGACAACTCGGCCAGTTGTTCCAAGTGGCATGCCGTCATTTCTCCTGCCTCTCAATCTGTTTTCCATTTAATATTACAAGTAGAAATAAAAGGAGACCTATAAATGGAGGAAACTGAGAGGTCACCAGTTAACTTCACGATCCCTCGCCTTTCACCAGCTCCTTACCCCCCACCAACTGCGATTAGGACGATTTCATCTTCCAGCAGTCAGTCCACCTTTGGGGAGGGAGAGTGCACACTTCATCAGGGAATGGCTTCCTGGATTCCCTTATGGACCCGTGAACATGAGATCTGCGGCCACATGGGCCTTGGCTCAGATTTCAGGAGAGCGGTGAGACGGGGGAGGTACGACTTCACCCTCCAGGCTGCGCTGGTTCTGGGTTTACAAGGGGTCACCAAGGTTAGAGAATCACAGATGTCAATAGAGCTCCTGGCCCTACCCCTTAAAAAATTTGCAGTAGAAATCTTCTTACCGCTTCACATGTAGTTCTTAGTCCTCTGGAAGCGAGCAGGGCAACACGATGCGGGGTTCTTTGCTAGGGAGATTTCACCCATGTTATGTCAAATGATTGACAGAGGCAATGCCTTTATACACGCTCCCTCCCCCAGGTGTCTTCTCCAACTCTTACAGCAGCATCAGGACGCTCAGAAAAGGTCTGACTATGTGGCTCTACTAGCACTGGATTGGCCAGCAATTTGGTATTTTGAGTCCTCTTTCTTTTCAAAGTTTCCATGCGCGCTTACTTGATTTATTCTGCTATTGCTAGAAGCAGCACCTCTTTGGAGCTGAAGGCAGGTTTGTGGAAGAAAAAGGCATATTTTCTTTTCCCCCTCAGGGCTTCTTTCACCTTCATTCTTAAGAGTGATCTGAGCATTGCATTAGAAGAAAGGATTTTTTTTTTCTTGTTGCAAAAATAATTGACAAGTATGCCACCAGGTCCTTCTTGCGATTCCGGTATTTCAGCAGAAAATTGCAGTGTTTACTCATTCCTCATTAATTGAGCACTTACTACATGCAGGCACTGTTCTTGAGGCTGCTGATCAAAAAATGAATGGTGGAGCCTGGGCCACTGAGGAGTTTGCTGCCTAGTGGGAAAGCGGGGGTGAAGAAATGAGGAAAATGTGATAAGTGCTATAAAAACACACCTGTGAGTAGAGAGTGCAGAAGATGTTGCATCTAGATTTGGGAGAAGGCGGTGAGGCAGACTTCCTGGAGGAAGTGGCTTTTAAGGAGACTATGGTCTCATGACTTGGATATTACCAGTGGTGTGAGGGAAGGGCTGGGACAGGCATTGGAGGAGGGAAAGGGAGAACAGCTCAGCTATCGTCAGCCAACAGAAATGTCTGACCATAGGGCACGTGCAGGAGGATGTGATCCATTGAGTCTGCAAAGGTGGCCTGGGAGTAGAAGAATGTCCTGTCCCATATTTCTGGCTCTTATCCAGTAAACAGGTGATGATGAGCATGCGAATCCTTTTTAAAGAAGAAGAATGACATAATCATATTTGTGTTCCAGCAAAATGTCTCTGGCAAGTGTATGAAAGCTAATGTTATCTAACATTTATTGAGTACTTATAATGTGCTAAGAATTTTGTCTGTGTCATCTGATGTTGCCCTAACAACGATTCTATCAAATAAATAATACGATGATTGTAACACACTTTTTACAGATGAGGAAATGGAGGCTTAGGAAAAGCACGAGGCCAGAGTCAGGAAGAAAGTTTATGGTTAAATGTTACTGGAATCGTGGAATTTCCAGAATTAACAAGTAACTCTGGAAAGACATTTGGAAAGGGAAACCCAGCATTTGAAAAAGAGTTAAAGTGAGGTGGTTTGGTTCCCTTTTCTCTGGGTGAGTGGTGAGATGAAGTGGGGACTAAGGTTTTTTTTTAATCCTTAAAATTCTTCATTTCATTCATTACTGTGTCAGTTTGAAAAAGAAAATGAAAAACGATTCTTGATCCTCAAGAAATGGATACTAGAATGTGTAGCTCTTTGGGAGTTTGGACAGAGATGGTTAACAGACAGCCCTTCAAAACAGTGGAGTTTAGTAAACCTGGAACACTGGCCTTGCTGATTTATTTCATGACAGTAGGGCCTTCTTCGGCCTTATGAGGAAGCAAATGAAAATAATCCCTTTGCGATGACTATTTTCCTTCCTTTACTGAATTAACTCTTCCATCGCCTAAGACTCACAATCCTCCAACTTCCGAATTCTCCACACTGCCTTATCTCTGCCATCCCACGGCAAGCCCTAAAGCTGCTAACATTTTGTAACAACTATGTGACAAATCGTTGTGCTTTTATTCATGTCGGACATTTTTGCCAGGCTTGCTTGTTGTGTTTTCTGTTTGGCTGTGTCCTGGGACCAAAGGTGCCTGCCTTTGTACAGCATGTCAAATCTGGTTAACATGCAGCCATTTATCTTCAAAACCACCCTGCACAATGGCAGCAGTGGGCCAGGCCACAGGGCTCCCAGCACAACCCAATTTTTTAGACCATCTTTTCTGCATGTGGGGAGCACGTTGGGCAGCAGACAAGATGTTTTGTGATTTGGGGAATCTCTTAGAGACAAATTGTAGAGAGCAAGTGCAGTGTAGCCGGACTGCTGGGTGCCCAGTGAAGTGAGGAAAATCAGATACAGCACAGGCTGAAAGAATGAAGCGGGAATTCATATCTCTGTGCAGAACATGCACAGTACTTTGCTCACACAGAGTTCACACATAGACAAAAGCATGTTTGCTTGTGGGCTATTTGCAGGGAGGCCATAGGCCCAGCCTGTGGGTATGTTCGCACCTGAGCCTCCTCTGTGCATTTTGTACTGGTGAGGGTGTCCACACGTGAACATGTACATATGCCTGTGTGGGAAGACAATTTGCTGGTACAGATTTAAGACATGAGCAAGACCTTCTGGTTCACTGAGGCGTTTCTCTCCCAGTGTATTAGAAGCAGAATCTTTGTGTTTTCTGCGGCTGTTTCAATAGAGGACTCTGTGTGTGTTTAAAGAAGACGCAGAGCCAGGGACTGTCAAGTGCTACAATGCAAAATACGGAGGACTTTCTTTCTATAAAGCCCCTGCAAACTTTATAACCCAATTCGCCCTGGGTTTTCGTTTCTCAGTTCTTTTAAGGTATCTAGGGGATGATTTGCCCTTAAATAACTAATTATCAACAAAGGAGCACAGACAGCCTTAAAAAAAAAACCCGTGATAAACCGTCATGAACTAGTTTAACTGAAATGAAGGAACTTGCTTCCTTGGATGAGTTAAAGGACTGCACATAGCAAAACCATGTGATTTAAATGAATGGTTAGCAACTGTAAATAGTAAACATAAACACATACATATCACATTTATACACATACGCGCGTTTGTGTGTGCACATACACTGAGGTTGCTTGAAGGAACAGGCAGTTTTTCTTTCCCTCTGTCTTTCTCTCCCCACCCCCCGCCCCTTTTTTTTCTTTTTGAGTAAAGGACCCAAGAGATTGCCTTTCACTTTGAAAACAATCTCTAATATCAGGAAAATGCGCTGTTTGTTTATGCGTACATAATGCAAGTTTGTCCGCCTGGGAGCTGCAGCAAATGGGAGAAGTATGCATGGATTTCACAGGTAACAGGATTACGTGGGCACATAATTGATCCATTTGGAGAAAAAAAATGACAGTGCTCTAAAGATGCCTAGGCTTTGGAGATGGAGTTTATGAAACAGGCATTTGTAAATTCAAAAGAATCAATATGTCAATTTTATTACATCTCAGAACCAGCTGGGCATTAAAGGAACAGTAGCCTTAAAAAAAAAATTGCAGCTGCGTATTCCCACATTGTTTACCTTTCTTAAAGGGCTTGGACTTTAAGGAAATGAACTCAGAAATGTCTGCCTTTTCAGAAATTAATTTACATTGTCAAAAAAGAACAATAACTGAGTAATTTCTGAGTTTTTAACCTAACCATTTGGTTAAAATGTCTGACAATCATTACAATTAATGCCTATTAATAGATATAGGTAATAAGCAGCATAGTAGCTCTCACACAGGCTGCATAGAGTCACAGATTCATTAGAATTCATATCTGCATTGTGCTTTTCAACAAAGTTTAGATTTTACCTCTTCACTGATCTGAGGACATAATTTAAGAGCTAAGCTTCGGATGTCCCACAGAATTCTGTCTGTGCAAGTGGTAAATAGTCCTGTTTTATTAGAGTTTTTGACAATTCAAAAAGACCAAGTTATTTTAAATGAAGTTCATAGATAACAGGATTTGGACAAGAGCCATAACACACGTTCATGGGATGTGAAGTCAAGATTTTTTTAAAGGTCCCCAAAGAGCTTACACAACTCAGGGTGAAATTTAGGAGCTATTAACTGGTCCACTTGTAGATGAAATGGTACTTCCTTTCACACCCCTACTGTGTGCTGTAGGAGAATACCTCCAAGGTGAGCCGCTATTTCATGTCCACGTCTTCACTCCCTAGACTCCTGTCCCAAGAACATCCCTAGATCCATTCACTTAAAATGAATGGAGCCCGGTCTTCCTCTTCCTCTCTCCCCAGGAGTGAGGAATTCAATATCATGAGGAAAAAATCACACACAACACACACACACACACACACACACACACACACACAACAAACACAGCATTCAGACACAAACAAATCTGTGTCCGAATTCTGATTCTGCCACTAGTTTCCCGGTGGCCCTGAATGTGTTTTAGCCTCTCTGAGCTTCAGTTCATAATGCTGAAAGTAGGGACCAACACTCACTACAGGATGATTGGGAGTGTTGAACAAAATTCTAAGGGCAGTATCTGGAGCTATATTCAATAAATTCTGATTATTAATATTTCCTGGTGAGTCTAATCAGGCTACCAGGAATTCTATGATAGAGCTACTTCAGTCTCCGGGCCATGCTGCAACCCTCTTGAGAAGAGGAAACCATGACCATCAGCTGAGGTATTCATTCCTTTTCAATTCTTTAGGAGTTTTAAAAAAACAAAAAAGGAAAAGAAATAGTCAAGGTGCTTGGCATGGTCTCATACCTCTGCCTTTCCAGGAAGTGGACGTGGTACTTTTCCTTATAGGAGCAATGCCCTCTAACAAAATCCCCCTATATTCTGGGCTGACCTTTATCACAGCACTTACAATACCTGGTTCCTATTTGTCTTCTCACACATGTAGATGCTTTGAGGACAGTCTTGTCCATCCCGTTGTGACCAGTGACTAGCGCAGTGTGTTTTGATAAAGCGAGACTATACTTAGTAGGAAGACAAATCCATTCTACTGAAAATGAATAGGGCAGGTACATTAAAGATGTAGTGCATATGAAGTCTAGGAAAAAGCTTTGGATAACTTATGTTAGGCCCCCTACTACCCTATAAACAATATCTTAAACTCCACTTAGTGACAGCTATGCCATTTTGAATACTTGGGATTTTTTTTTTATTTCTTTTCTTTGGTTTTTCAGTTGTATTCAAATCAACTGGCTTTCCACCTTTCTCAATGATACCTGTAAGACCTGTGAGTCAGGGAGGCAGGCAGAAAGGCAGTGTGGGTGCTCAAGAGAGCTTAGGCTTTGGATAGCTGAACTCGCCTCTGGTTTCTACTTCACACCAGCCATGGGAACGGGAGCAAGTTGCTCAGCCCAACTGGGTCTCCATTTCTCCTGCGGCCTGTGTAACAGGGTCATTGTGAAGACATGCTGGAAATAGGTAAAGGACCCAGCACATAGTAGGTATTTAATGTTGCCTACTCTTCAACGTTTACTGCGTATTTACTTTGGGTTGGCACCCATAGGGCCTTCCCCCTTTGCTCCTCCTGTCAATCAACACTTACTCCACACCCCTGGTGGATCTTTCTTACCCCAGTTCCAAAGTTCCTTATGAGAGTTGGAACTCTCATATTTATTTATTTTTATTTATTTATTTATTTTTGCTCAAGGAAATGAGCGTGCAGAAGCATCTGGAATCACAACGACTGTTTCTGCCTGATCTGACTGCTCCTTTGTTCCCACCACCCTTTTCAGTGAACCATTTCGGTGTTTCTGTAAGGCTCCACCACCATTTTGCGCTTGGGTGTCTCAGATCTCTCTTCTTCCGTGATCCTTTGAAGATATCAGAAAAGAAGATGCATTCAGCCTCTTGACTTTATTTGTTTGCCACGCAACTATGTGGGTTGGTTAGTTAATAGAGCAGATTAAAGCACTTTGTTTGATTCTTCTTCAGCATACCAGAAATACATTCAAAACCCACAGCCACAGAATGTAAAGAAGATAGTCCAAATATAGTACTACATAATGAGGCTCCCTGTTGGTAGTATATAAAGCAGTTGAGAGTATAGCTTCAAATTCTAATGAAGATCATTTTAAATTTTGCACTGAATTGTGAATTTAAAATTCCCATGTTCTCCATAAGTCTCTGAAGAGGGGCATGTAAATACCATAAGTGAATTAATTACCGCCTGAAGTTGGTAAAGCATGTGTGAATCCAAACTTTATTCTTGAACTTGCACTTCTCTTCCCAAGGTTTTTTGAACCATTTCCTATATGCTGAGCTCTGAGTACCTATTCCACTGCCGAGGACATATAAAAAGGTATTTTTCTTTGCATGGATTAAATGTTTCAATCTCATAAAATCACCAGCACAACAGAGAGCCTCCCCAGTACCACACACGCGTATCACATGAAATTCATAAAGCAGATGAGATATTTATAATCAATTTTTTTAAATGTGAAAAAAATAACCTTAATTCTTGCCTCTCCTTTTTAATATCAACAGTATCAGTTTCAGAAGAAACAAAAGACTAAAGGGCGAGAATATCGTTCATGCTTGCTTATGTCCTGGTCATGTAAGGCGGGACCCCTGAAGTTACTGGACAACTTTTCCAACCTGACTCTTTGGAAGTAAACCCAAGAGACGGGGAAATAGTGCTGTGGTTAGCTCACTGATGGCGCCCACATGGCGCCCGCACCGGTTCCTTTCGAGACTCCATCATTTCCATGGAAGGGCCAGAGGCCCTGCCAATATCCGCACATCATTGGCATGATGGACCATAACGGCTTCTTCGGAGCCGTTCCGGTCTGTCGTGTCAATGCGTACTCGGGGAGCCCTCAGTGCACGGATCATTGACACGGCACCACATAACGGCTCCTTAGCTGCCATTATTGGGTATCAAGTCAATGCCCACTCGGGGAGCCTTTAGCCCACAGCCCTGCCCAGGCAGACACGTTCCGAATGCTAAAATTCCTTCGGAAAATTAGTCATTGCCCATGTGTGAGAGCTGTTTTCCATTTTGAATTTTAACCATTTTGAGGAAAGGGCGAGAAGGGAAAAGACCAGAATAGTCTGCAAAGGCCTTAAAATAAGGGTGCAAACGTTGGAAGGGTGGGGTGGGGTGGGCCTGTGAAGACGATGAACTTCTAATTTTTTCCTTTCCATGGCCTCATTTTATTGTGTCAGAGAGCTAGAAAGCACTTCACTTTCTTGGAGACTCTTTTTCAGGCAGGGTATAGCCCAGAAAACCCTTTTTATGGTTCAGATATAAATCCCAGAAAATATAGTGGAAACGATGACAGGCTCTCTAACTATAAAATAACAGTAATAGGTGTCATTATAATAATCTCGCAGAACTTCACACATCAAAAATATCACTTTTATGATGATCTCTGCAAGAGATTTCGGTTGGTTGTCATTTCCAGGCCTTTAATAAATAACATGTTGAGTAGGAAAGGTTTTGCAAAGATCAAAATAAAATACTGATGATCATAAGACCAACAACAACAACAATACTCTACCCACCATTTAATGTATTCTCACTGTGTGGCAGGCACTTGGTATATATTAGCTCATTTAATTTTCTCAGTGGACTTTACAAATCGGGAAACTGTGACTCCGCGAGGTTAAACCGCTTGACTGATGTCACACAAACGTTAAGTGACAGCAGTGGGATCTGAACTGGGTCTGGTGAGAGCCATGCTGTTATAACGTCACCTCCAACAACGATCACCTTCGGGGAACTGGGTTTTTATTTAGACTCTCCAACCCTTACTGATCAGGAAACTGAGGCAGGGTAGTTTTAGTAAATCCTCCAAATAATAAAGAGAGTCTGAGTCAACACCAGAACACAAGAGCACAAACGCCCTTTCTCTCTGACAGCACGTTCACCACAAACAACACTTGGCCCTCACCCCTGCAAAGATTTCCCCGCACCAAATCAAAATGGTGCGAGGTTGCGGCTGGTGGTATTTTCCCCCCTTTTGTGTTCTGCGCGCTGACTGACATCTGCTATCATGCTAAGCAGGTGTTCCTGTGTAAACGAACGTGCCCTGTTTGTGTTTCGCCATCCTCGCTGCTGCGCACCCAAATGAGCAGCGTGATTAAGAATCCTGTAAATTTTTGAAAGGAAACGGATGGCTACCCTACTAGAACATAATTACACCGTTCCAACATCCGCAGCTCACTGCCGCAGCAGAGTTGGAGAACAGCAGAAATTAATAATATATAATAGCATCATTCTCGTAATTTATAAATGAAATAAAGTGGAGAGGAGATTCTGCTGATACGCATTTTCTCTTTAATTCTCAAAGACAAAGTATAGATTAGAATTTTAGTGGGGTGAAACCTGGCCAGCAGTCTCCCACTAGTTGGCCTGATTCATGATAGGAGTGTTTTTGCTTAGGGAAAAGAGCTAATATCTTTTATTAGGCCAGGGGAAAAATGAATGCACAAGGCCCTCTAAAGGCAAGGCGAGATAAAGGGGGCCTGAGGAACATCGCTGTGGGTTGTGTGCCCACTGCGTTTTGAAAAGATAGTATTACTTTAAGACCTCAATGTGGGTTGCATTTTTGCTTTTATTATAATAGCGCACCACCATAGGTCAACCCCTCTGCGAAAAGGCGAGACCCGATCCGTTAAAGATGTGGTCCGACCTACACTTTATGGGAAAGAGCATTTGTGTGAGTTCTAGGCTTGGCTGCACAATGCACGCGTAGGAACGATGCTACACCGGCACATTTGTTAATAGGGTACGTGGCGCGTTATGTGTTTTTTAACCACACAAAAAAGTATTTGTGTCTCTTAAAAAACATTATTTTGAGCACCCTGAAGGTGCCAACAAGGCTCTTATTACAAATTATCGTTAGGTAAGGGAGTTGATTCTTGTAATCGCGCTTTTCAGCCATGTTGGAGAAATAATAGAACTTCCCAAAGAGGCAAATGAAAGTAGCTAGTCCATTTCTCTATGAGATGGGGTTTTAAATGAAAATTTAAAATACTTTTCTGTTTTAACTTGCCATATGTAAATTGCAGACAAATGAACAATGGACACAATCTGTTTTTTCAAGGGCTTGTGCCCTCTGAGCCTAGTGCCCATCACAAACACACACACACACACACACACACACACACACAGAGAGAGAGAGAGGCAATTACCCTTAAGAAAAATGTTTACATTATTTAAATATTGTTATCTAAGCAACTTTTCCCTGCTAAATTCCAAATGATGACAATACATCCAAAAAAGTCAACATGGACTTTTTGCTTTAATTAACCTTAGAGAACATGAAAATACTATTTGCCTTTCTGGAGAAGCATGTCCATTTAAGATGCTTATTCATTTAAGCAGTATTTATATAAAGGCCCCCTTGAGGATTACTCTATGTATTTTGATTTGGTCCAGAGAAAATAAATTCATTTAATAGATTTATTTCATTAACAGGTATTTATTTAAGTGGGTTCCACTGTATTTAAATCTCCAAACAGTTTCCATTATGTCCTTGCTTACTTGCTTCATGTTGACTAATTTTAATAAGCCTAAGGTGCCTAGGGTCTTATTGAGTGTTCAGTTTGATCAATATGGTTAAATTAAAATTGTGCAAAATATAAGCAAATGTACTCTAACAACACAGTGAAAAATGTGCTCTGCACTGAGCATTGATTGGTATGCTGCAGACACGGGTGTGCTGTGGTGGGCAAGCCTCTAAACTACCTAGAAACAGCAGTTCTCCTCCCAACCTCCTCTCCACCCACACCCACCCACGTCATCTCCCACCCATCCATCCAAGCAAGGGTGCAGGCCCGCCCCCTGAAGTAGAGGAGGAAGGAGATCCATGTCAAGTGTTTTGTTTTTTGCTTTAATGGGAAGCAGAAGGTAAGACTCAGGGAAATCCTATATAAAAGGAAAACAGCTAAGATCTTATAAAAGTTAAGCTCTATCATCCAAAATGCTTTAGGCTACATCAACTGATGAATGAGGAGCCTAGTTCTTTCTTTTCTTTTCTTTTTTAATTGATTTAAGAGAGAGGAAGGAAGAGAGAAAGAAAAATATCGGTGTGAGAGAGAAACATCGATCGGTTGCCTCACACACACACACCCTGACCTGGGATTGACCCGCAACCTGGGTATGTGCCCTGACTGGGAATCAAACCCACCAGCTCTTGGTGAACCATACGATGCTCCAAACAACTGAACTATGCTGGCCAGGGCCTAGTTCTTTTTTTAACAGAATAAGTTTTTTATTTAATTGTAATTCTTAAATCTTAATATTTTGGTAGCTTGTATCCTTTCTCAAACTTCTTGTTTGTTAAGTTTGACTGGGCAAATTACCAGGGGGAAAAACACACCAAAACCAAAAACACTAATTTCTAAAGTATACCAACTATCAGCCTTCCATTAGTATTGCATTTGAAAACCTAATATAACTTAATAGCATTCTAACGAAGTCATTGCTTTCTATGTAATTGTAAAGTTAAAAAGATAACTAAGTTCATTTTAATGGGTTCCTTTTAACATGAAAAAGTTTGTATTATTCCTAAATTGATATCTTAAACTTCCTCGTGTTTCCTTCTCTTTATTTCCCTTTCTTGCCCGCTTTTGAGATCCAAGAGGAATATTAAGTATGTTTAATATTCAGCGTCTATCTTTTTAAGCTCTTCAGATATCTGCCCCAGTTACTTACCAATCATGATTACATGTCATACAAAATTGCTCCTCATACGTGTTTGGCTGTTAAGGTAGTTTCTTTTTCCTACCTGTTAAGAGACCTTATCCCTGTCTTTAATTTTCTTGCTAAGTGATAGCCGCCACTTCATATTAACCCTTCCTACATGTCCAAAATCTAAGTTCGCATGAGCAGAAGTTGATGTTATCAAAAGTAAATCAGAAGTTAAAAAGCATTAAAAATGCATGTCTTGAAAACACTTGTTGTATTTAGGGAAGTGTGTTCTGTTGAGATGAAAATCATTCTCTAGTTTAAACTGACCATGTTGGTTTATGGGCATAATGAGAATTTGAAGTTTCCTTTTAAGTTGAATCCAGGGCTTGAGCTTCCTAACCTTCAATGGTACAGTCACAAACTAGCCTACAAAATAGTGTTTGAGTCTTAAAATCATCAGAAATAAGTCGACTAACACAAGTTCAGAAGAACTGACTTTATTGTTGTGGCAGGGCCAAGAAAAATACTTACGTTTCTGTTTAGTTTTGTGCATGCTGATCTTGATTTTTCTCAGCGTTGTGCATGTTTTGAGTTTTTAATATCAAAGGTATTGCTCTTTGTAAACAAGTGTAAGTTTACCAAGGCAGCTTCGCTTACACCCTTCCCTTGTAATCAGATGTGAAAATTACACCCTCCCTTTTGGATACATGATAATTACACATTTCAACATGCAAAGAATTGTCTCTGTTGCAGTTGTTGGGATGAAAAAGCCGAGACACTCAGTAAAACATATTATTATATTAAAGATCATTTCCATAATTGTTTTCGGGATTTGCAGTCAGACCATGATCCAGGTAGTCTTATTTTTTTAAAGGTACACACATGGAAATAAGGAGCAGATAAAATCAATGGCAAGTCCCCCTGGACTGGACATTCTTCTATTTTAAAAAAATGAAATTGAGAAAAACACATATTCTTTCTTTCAAAAACTATGTTAGTACGTTGGCATTTTCTTTTTCTATGCTTATTGAAATACCCATTTTTAATGTAGACCCCCCCAAAAATAAATAAATAATCTACATTTTTATGCACAATGGGAAAGGGTTAGTAAGAGGTGAGGTGTACGTACAATACAAGGATTCTCTCAGGGAAAGGTGTTTCTTGTTTTTAATTGCTGTGTTTGTGTTGTTGTTCTTTTCCAAGTGTCCTTTTGAGCCAACTACACAAGTTTTGTAAACTCATGTGAGGTACCTCACACGTCACAGTCAGATTTCTAGATTCATCTGAGGCGCCACTTACAGTGTAAGATAAAATATATGTCATTGCGGGAATAAGACAATTAAAGGCTAAAAATCTCAGAGGCTTTGAAAAATAACACTGACTCAAAAATATTGTTCTTGTTTGCCGGGGTTAAATTACTGATTCCTTTTACTTTTGTACGCTAAGGAGAAAAGGAATAGCAGGGAGGAAGCAGTGTCAATTGATTTTATGGTTCCTTGAAACAGTTTATATCATAAAGGAATATCCCAACTGATTAGTTCCCTAAGTATTTAAATTATTTTCCTTTCATCCGAATACTGGCATAGGTAAGTGAGAATACATATTCATAGAGTCCAAATATATTTTTTAAAGCCTAGCAGATTTTCTAGTTCTGAAAGTGTCCCAACTCAATTTTCAAAAATTTGATAATATAAATTATCACTTATCTGTACATCTTTTCTATTTTAAAATCATTGCATCATCTGACATTGATATTTAATATTTCAAAATATTTTCCCTAGAGAGCTTTCATATATTTTTAGAACTTTGGAAGGAAACGGAGAATTTAGCTATTCTCACCCTAGGCCTTCCTTGTTGGGTAGAAATTAAAACAGAGCTTCGCAGGGCCAGGGTTTGAACCCCAGACTCCAAACCAGGGACAGGATGCTGTCCTGAATGTTTCTTCTTTTGTTGTTGTTGTTGATCGTTTTCTCCCATCATCCATTGTGAGATGATGTCTTATTTTTAGGCTGAGTGATTCCCTCCCTACTCTGCAGCGTCAGGTTACAGTTGTTGTGACGGCCAAGAGTGAAATGGCTAGAATGAGAAAATTTGGTGTGCTTACGTGCTGAGTTATTGGACGATGGAGCCACATGTCCTGAACAAGTCTCTTTGGTTTCCTACTTCTGTGTCTTTTAGAAAGATTGGTCAGTCGTTTTTTTTTTTTAGGTGAGGTGCTTTTATAATTCCTGTACAGGCTGGGCAGAAGGCTCAGAAATGTGTCACCTGGTACTGACATCAGCCTGCATTCTGGGGTTCCCACCCCAGGCCCACTCCAGAGGTGCGCCTGTGTGGGCACGGCAGAGAGGTGGTGGGAAGGAAGAGTCCGTGGTTTGGCTCAGTGGATAGAGCATTGGCCTGTGGATGGAGGAGTACCGGATTCGATTCCGATCCCCGGTGGAGGGTGTGCAGGAGGCAGCCAATCAATGATTCTCTCTCATCATTGATGTTTCTATCTCTCTCTTCCTCTCTGAAATCTATCTATCTATCTATCTATCTTCTATCTATCTATCTATATATATATATATATTTTAAGAGTCCATGGGAGCGTCTGTGGAGGACAGGGGAGTTGCCAGGAAGGAATGAAAGGACCTATGCTCCCGGCCCCCTGGTCAACATTTACCTCCCCCACATTTAGCTCCACAGGCAGTAGCAGCAGCAACCTGGAAGGATTTGGGGCAGGAGAAGTACAGCAGGAGCCATTCCTGGTCAAGCCCTGTGTCTTCTCCTAGTTTCCATCCCAGCAAACCAGTTGATCCGTGGCACCTTGGGATCCCACCCTGGTGTAACGAGGAGAGTGCGGGATATGGTTCAGGAAACTTGGACCTGGGGCCCTCCCAGCCCTGCCGTCCAGTCTCAGCGTGGCCCTGGCACCCCCTTAACCTCCCTGGGCCTCCTGGCCTTAGCTGTAAAGCGTAGGGATTGGACAGAGGTTGCAACTGGTATTT